GGGAAAAACTCATTTTTTTTTGTTAGACTAAGCCTTAAACTAGCGCTTAGATCTGACTTCAAAATAGCTAAAGAAAATGAAAAGTAATTGCAACGATGCATATAGTAAAACTGTAGTTACATTCAACATGGATCTAATACAAATGGCTAATAATATTTAAAACAACAACACTTAGAAATAGAAAAAAAAAGATTGGAAGTATGATTGAACATAAGTTTGCCAAAAATAAAAATGTCGTGCATGAAAAATTACAAAATGCCATTGTGTTTCATGAGAATGAAAAAAAAACTTGTGAAAAGAGTGTCATGCTGTGTTTGAATATTCTATGATGTACAAAAAAATGAATGTGCCATGGTGCAAAAAATAATTTTGCCAGTGCTATGAAAAATAACCATGGACCAACAATAAATTTGCCATCGAAGAGAACAAAAAACATAATAGCATGTAATGTTTGGTAATTTTTTCTAAGGTTCAAATGAAAAAATTGCCATGGTCAATTTTTTTTACCACAATCCTTAAAAGATAAATGTTCCATGGTCAATATTTTCTTTATTGCAATCGCTGACAAAAAAGAACAAGTCATGGCAAATTGCATCTGGACATGGTGGGAAAATGTTGACTAATTTTGTAAGATATTTGTACTATATGTGTGAATAACAAAATAAATAAATTTTCCTTGACATGGAACACAAAAGGGTGCACATGTATTGTTTAGTAGAATTTGCCACTACCATTAGGTAAATTTACCATGGTCCATAAAAAGGTAAAATTAACATGAGCTATTAAAAGTAAATTTGCCATGGGTGTAAGTAAAATTGTCATGGAAATAAAAGTAAATTTTCCATGGCACATAAAGTATATTTGCCATGGGTAACACATTTATTCTTTTTTTCCTTACAAAGAAAACTTCCCAATGGCCACACCTTCTATTTTTGAAATGGCCAAAAATAAAAAGACATGGCAAAATGCATTCTAAATGGTGGCAAAATGTGGATTGATTTTGTGAGGTATTTTTAATATATACATATTGAGGAAAAAAAGAGGTAATTTTGCCATCATATAGAACACAAAAAGTGCACCATGTATTGTTTAGTAGAAATTGCCATGGTCCATAAAGTAAAATGACCATTGTCGTTAAAAGTAAAATTGCCATGAGCAATAAAAGTAAATTTGTCACAGCAGTAAAAGTAAATTTTCCATGGCAATAAAATAAAGTTTCTCATGGGCTATAAAGTAAATTTGTTGTGGTATTAAAAGTTAAATTTGCCATGGGAATGAAAGTGATAATATAATTTTTTGCCATGGTATAGAGAACAAAAAAAACCTTAAATTGCCATGTGATTGGACGAGCCATACGCACAAAAAATGCAAAAAAATGTTTACATTTTCATACATTTGCCATGTTACTATTGAAAATGTTTCAAATTTTGATACATTTTTATATGATGTATGGGACACACCTTTTTCGAAAAAATGACATATGATATGTCCTCACATTTTTTTACCCGGTGTGCCATCTAAAATATTGCCATCATGTTGTACCAAAATCACAAGCATAGTAACATTTCGCCATGGTACATGGCAAAAATTTCCAAAAGGTTGATATGCAAGGTAAACTTAGCACAAGGTTGTTTAAATTATTATGGGATTGGAGTTATAAGACACATGGCAAATAGGTGAGTAACAAAAACTTTTCTCAATTTCGCCATGTCATTTGTCAAAAAAGTTGCCGTGTAACTTCACAATAATTTACATGTGACAAAAGAATACAATTTTATGTAAC